GAGTATAGATCCCTCTGGTCTGACTGAATTGCAGAAACGCAATTTGGTTGATCGTCTCAAACGTCGAGTTACATTTATTAAACACAAATCTAATGGCCGAACTTATGCTCGAATCTATTATCTTAATTTATCGGAAGACGCGATTCATTACCAAGGATCATCACATCGTTCCAAACACGAAGCATGTAAAAATATTACTCATCCTTTTATGTGATGAATCATAATATTGGTTGTTTTTAGGTAAGATCAAAGATATTGATCAGGTTCGATCCGGTTTTACCACGACTGTTTGGAAGAGATATTTACGTAAAGGAAAAATAACGAACGATAAAATTCACTTAGCATTTTCGATTCTTTATGATAATAATCGACATTCGCTTGATCTACTTGCTGATTCGGAAGAAATTCGTTCACAATGGATTCAAGGTCTCGAATATCTAATTGGTCGTTATCGTTCTCATGTTCGTTCTCATTACGAAATAACTGATCGATGGCTTTGGTCGATGTATTCGGAAGCCGATCATGATCATTCCGGCCATTTAAATCGACGTGAAGTTCGACGGCTTCTGTTCTTACTCAATATCGAATTGGATGAGCGAGAAATCGATCAGTACTTTAATCAAGCCAATATTCGTCGAGACAACTATGACGAGTTAAGAAATTTAGACAAAGATGAGTTTATTTCATTCTATAAATTTGTTTCATATCGACCGGAGTTAATTAAAATACTTTGTCAGTAAGTATGCATTTTTTCTTCTCCACAATCGCATTCGATTTCTCACCGAATTCTAGGTATAATAGCAGCACTCCGAAACAATTGGCAGACTTTCTTGCTAAATATGAAGTTATTTCGACATTGTCGCATGCAAATCCACTTAGTCAACCGCCGGATGTGTTATCAAACAGCTGTTGGAGGTCCTCGTCGAAAAGTCAGCCATCTAATGCTCAACCGCGACCGAAAATACGAAAGAAAACTGGCACGAGTCGCTCTCCATCATTGACGAAGACCGTTCATGACAATAATTACCTCACTGTTGAGCAATTTCAAAAATTCTTGCAGAAAGAACAACATATGCGAGATGTGACCATTGAAGATTGTTCGAAATTAATCGCCAAATTCGAACCATCCGACGAAGGATCGACCTGTGAAGAAATCGGTGTCGATGGTCTGCGGTTATTCTTACTTCATGATGAATTTTGTCTAATGAATGCTGATAAAGCGCATCGAGTTTATCAAGATATGACGCGACCAATCACCGATTATTTCATTGCTACATCGCATAATACGTAATGTGACATCTTTCAAATGTTATCTAGCAATATAATGTTCGTTTTATTAGTTATATACGTGACAGTCAAGTGTATGGTGACTGCACACCCGAAACATATATTCATGCATTACGAACAGGTTGTCGTGCTGTAGAAAGTAAGCTGTGCTGTGAGTTTGTTGTGCTTTTACTTATTGCGAGAGTTTCTAGTGGATTGTTATGATGGCGAAGATGGCGAACCGATTGTCTATCATGCAAATACCTGGACCAGAGCAATCACTCTGCATGAAATTCTTTTTGCTATTGAAACGCAAGCATTTGCGGTTTCACCGTAAGAAAACATTGCTGTTAGGAAACTTATGTCAATTTTTGCCTCTATTCATAGATACCCACTCTTTTTAAATATTGAAAATCATTGCTCATACGAGCAACAAGGTGTGATGGCAAGACATTTAAAGCGTATATTTAAAGGTTATTCATTTCCATCGATTTGTACCAACTTGCTATATTTTCTCTGTCGTAGATCGTTTGTTAACTGAACCGTTAAGGTCAAAAGTCAATCAATTGCCATCTCCAGAGGATTTGAAATATAAAGTACTTATTCGGGTAATGATCATAATCAATTTCTAACATATCACGAAAGTCTTTTGATATAATAGAGTCGACGAAATCCAAAAGGCAAACTACCAGCTGATCCGAAATCTAATCGAAGCAACGACGAAACCGAACCAAATCCTAAAGTATTCATCCCCTTGTCTTATGTTCATCTTCGAAATTAACCGTACATATTTAGAGTTATCATCCTGAATTTGCTAAACTGATTATATATGCTCAAATTGTCTCATTTACAAACATCGAGCATACAATGTCAACACGTAAAGATTCATTTCTGAACTTCAAATTTCATTAAATGAATTTTTGTTGCACTAAATAGAGAAATGTATCCATTCGATTTCGTTCAAAGAATCGAAAGCAGATGATTTAATCGAAGTCAATTCACCCGAACATTTAGATATGATCAAGCTAACAAGCAAACATCTAGTACGAGTTTATCCGGGAACCAAACGACAAGATTCGAGCAATATAAATCCGATGACTTACTGGACTTATGGTAAAACGCTGCCACTGTAAATCGAACTACAACGAAATATCTGAGTGTTGTTTTAGGTGTACAAATGGCTGCATTGAATTATCAAAAGAATGATGAATCAATGTGTCTTCAATATGGTTTTTTTAGTGATAATGGTGGATGTGGTTATTTACTCAAACCATCATTTCTACTGTCCGATAACCCAACATTCGATCCAAAAAATGCCGTCCAGAGAAAGGCGAAACGTATCACAATACAAGTGATTAGCGGACAACATCTACCAAAGGAAAAAAATGCTCCGAATGATTCAGATATTTCTGATCCGTATGTCGAAATCAGTACATATGGTATTGAAGTAGATTCAACCAAACATCGTACACCTGCTGTACGAAATAATGGCCTAAATCCGATTTGGAATTACAAATGTCATGTAGATATTTATTGTCCGGAGTTATGTTTACTCAAATTTCAAGTACGTGATGAAGATCGGCATAGTGGCTCGTCGTTTCTTGGCCAAGCTTGCTATCCATTTACAGCACTACAACTCGGCTATAGGCATATTAAATTGAAAGCTAAAGATGGTGATTACATTCATGGAACTATTTTCGTCCATATAAGCATAGAAGATTTATAAATTTGCTTTTTTGTTTTCGTGATTGTCGTGTATCGGTTGTCAGATGAATCTATTTTTTAATCTCTGTAGTGTAAAAATGTAGTAGAATAAATATTTTTATGTTGCATATCCATTAAACAAGAAAACCCATTGAATCGAACAGGTAATTGATCTATTTTTCTCCTTCCAGAATGGTATTCTTAAAAATATCGTCTCGTTGTCTGTCATTATCTCAGCAAATACGATGTTTACATCGTTCAACATCCCTTTTGGCGCGCAGCGTTCGACGCACTACACCTCCTCAATCACGGCAAACGCCACCGATCAAATTAGATCAAAGAATGTTTGCAAATGATGAGTACGATGACATGTCTACACAAGAACAATTCGCTCGTTTAGAGTTACGACGTCTCGAACAAGAATCAAGGACGTCGGTTGTTGATGATAATGCAACGGAAGACGAATTCGATGAGCAAGATTCTCCACGCCCATCGATTGATCCAAGCACGAAGAGTATTATCCTATTTCCTGGACAAGGAACACAATTTCTAGGGATGGGGTAAGATTTTGATCGCACGACAGGTTTGTTCTACAAATGATGACGTTTATTCAGACAGAAAGTAATTGATTATCCAAATGTGAAAGAAATGTTTAATGTCGCTCATCGAATACTTGGCTACGATCTGTATTCCAAATGTATCAATGGACCAATTGAAGATTTGAATCAAACACTCTATGCTCAACCGGCTATTTATGTCACATCCTTAGCTGCTGTGCAGAAACTCAAAGCAGAAGATCAGAAAGTACGGAGCAACGAAATGTATGTTTTATCTATAGAATTTTCCTTAGGTTGTTGAGAACTGTGTTGTAGCAGCAGGATTTAGTGTCGGCGAAATAACTGCGCTAGTATTTGCAGGCTGTATGACCTATGAAGACGGTCTTCGTCTAATAAAAGCACGTGCGGAAGCAATGCAAGCGGCATCGAACGAAGTCAACAGTGGTATGATGACTGTTTTCATTGGTCGCGAGACAAAACTAGCGTTGGCAATGGAAGCAGCCAGAGAATGGTGTAACAAATACATGAAAATTGATGTGCCTTGCATCACTATTGCTAATCACATGTATGCAGAATGTAAAGTACTCGCCGGACATAAAGAGGTTCGATTCTTTTATAGTGTAATTGATATATATATATATACATCGTTTTCTCTAGGCTTTACAATTTATTGCACATAATTATAAAGTATTTGGCATCCGTCGAATCAAATATCTCCCTGTTAGCGGAGCATTTCATACGCCATTGATGTCATCAGCAAAACTGAAATTAATCAAAGTATTGGATAAAATCGATATGCAACCACCATTAATTCAAGTCATGTCGAATGTGACAGGAAAACGTCATACAAGTGATATAGCAACTATCAAGCGATCGCTTAGTCAACAGTTAACAAAAAGTGTCCTTTGGGAGCAATCAATTCATAAAATGTATCAACGTCCTCAACACGAATCATTTCCGAATACATATGAATGCGGTCCTGGACGTCAATTAGGTTATCTCTTGCGATTGAATAATAACAAAGCGTATCAGCACTATAAACACATTGATGTTTAGGAGATTTTTGTATTGTGAAATAAAATGATAAAAGAAGTCTTTCGATATGCAGCGTCTGTTGAACACTGGGATCGGTAGAAAGGTTTGTTTAGAGTAATGGGACTTCATCTACATTTTGTTCTCGTTTAATATATCGAATAGACAATAGATTTAAATTCTTCTTTTGTCCGTTATTGACGAAAAGGTCGAAGTTTATAAAAACCAGCAACGATATATTTGGTCTTTTTGTCTATTCGATTTTCAATACAAAAAAAAGAAAAGAAAACAAAGCAAAAACGGTCCATGGAACATTGTCTTATTTCTTTCAACACACACACGTACATTGAACTGAGAAAAGAAAACGTATGCACACACGCACAAATATAAATAAGAGTATTAGAAAGGAAAAGGAAAAAAGGCACTAGAAATCATTAAGATTTATGGTGAATCCGAGGATGATGCTGCTGTTCTTGCTCGTGTGTCACGTGCTTCTTGCCATAGTTCGCCTATTTTCAGTAGAGCGATACATCGGCGTCGTCGCGTATCTCGATGGCATGTTGATTCATTGAGTACTCGATCGCAAACATCGCGTTCGATACTTTCGATCTCAAGTTTGGTGGCACGCCAGAGCGCTTCCATTGATTTGGCAGCTGTGTCTGCTTCGAGTTTACGTTTTTCTTCTTCAGTTAATGGGACAGGTGGTTGTGCTGATGCAGATTTACCTTGACGATGATGTTTGACTGATGTAGACGTAGTCGACGCTGATGCCGATGCTGATGCTGTTGAACTTGCATTGGCGTGTTGCGATGATGCTGATGCCGAAGTTGACGCAGTCGATTCTGAAGGAACAAAACCTTCATATTCTAAATGACCCGAATGGTGTGTGAACGGGTATTGAGAGTTTTGTGCTTCTTCACTCGCTGCTGCTTCTTCATCGGCAATTTGTGCTAATTTTGACATCGACTGTCCCCATTCGACGGCACATTTCACTGTCTTAACTGTTTCCTTAACTACGTGTACACGTTCTTTCCATGATGATTGAAAATGTTTACCAAAACCCAAAACACGTTTACCAATGTGACCTTCTTGAGAATCGAGCTTATTCAACCATAATTTTGCTTTCGAAGCATAGATATATCCGATGGCATGTAGTAAATGTTCACCATAGGGTGCATTCAATAAATTTGGAATGTCCATGCGAGTTAATTCAGTGAAATTATGCATTGCTTCCTTCTGTTGTTGTTCGTTAGCATTCGGCGGAATCGATTCCGTAAAAACGGACAGTTTATACGTTAGATTTTGTGCTAATTGTTTGATTCGTTCTTCACGTGCTTGAGAGCGTTCTTCAGCATAAGCCAAACGTTTGCGCATTTTTTCTTCTTTTTGCTCGCGGGTCTCTTCGGTACCTTTGTTCTCAGCATCTTTGATCACTTCGCTGATCGCATGTTTAAATGATTTAGCTAATTCGAAATCACCGATTATTTTCGTGAACTGTTCACCACCGAACATCAGTCGAAAGAATTCTTCAGCGTCGAAATCTTCCAAATTGAATCCTGCCGAACCATTGTTAACTAGACGTTCATCTTTACCGTATCTAAACGAAACCAATTTTTGCATATCTCGATTTCTCGCTCTTTCTTACCTGTTGTAAAGTTTTCGCTTTTCAGGATCACTGAGAATACCTACAAATATCAAAGATAAATGAATAAAAGTGCAAGTTTTCGCTTACTGTAAGCCTGAGAAATCTGTTTGAATCTTTCTGCATATTCTCGGCGCGTGAGATCATTGAGATTTTGTGTTCGATCGGGATGATACTGTAATGAAAGTGAATAATAAGCTTTTTTAATTTCTGACGCAGTAGCTGTTGGCGACACGTTGAGAATATTGTAATAAGTTTTATCTAGTGGTGCTTCGTCTGTACCAGTTTTACCGAGAAAGCCGGAGCGTACACCGCCAGCCGATTTCTTTTTATCATCATTATCACCGGATGATGCTGATGCCATTATCAAAAAATAAAATTTTCAACTCAATTTATCTGGAAAAAAAAGATTTATGTATAAAAATAAATTCCACAGAAAATGAAAACATTTTCAATTCTCATCTATTCGTCTTTTATAAGTATCGATTAGTTCGCTATACTGAATTAACTGACGGAGAAAAGCAGCATTCGGTCGAATGATATGACGCCGTGAACGAAGGTGAATGAGCGCTTCCTCAACAGACATCGAATGGTGTCTGATTAAATATGCACAACAGATCGTCGACGAACGAGATACTCCACAAGCACAATGAACAAGCACACGGCCGCCAGCCTGTCGCGCTTCGTCAATAAACTGACAAGCTTGCTCGAAATACGGAGACATATCGAATGAAGTACAATCATCCGCTTTAATGAAAAGGTGTTTCATAGTTGACGTAATGCAAGCCGCTCTCGGTTGAATCCAAACAACTGATATTATATGAGTAATATTTAAACGTGTGAGATAATCCTAATGAGTAAAAACATATATTCATCATCGATCGAGAATAGTCGGATGAGTTACTTTGTCATTTAAGGATTTCAATCCACCTAAAAACAGAAATCTCTGGAAGACAAGCGTCGGTTCTGCAGGTATAACATGTCGTGGTGCTTTTCCGCTTAATAGATGCATGTAAATCTGATTAATACGTTGTTCGACTGGATCAATTACGTCTTCACCTGTCTTTGTTTTTGTTATTGACGTGCTTTTCTTCGATCTGTCTGTCGATAATAATCTATACGAAGACGTTGCATTTGTCTTTGACGATCTCGAAGATCGGCTGAATGCTGCCGCCATGTATTGGTATTATGCGTGATTAATCGATAGATTTTTCGTTTTCTCTTCCGTTCGTTGCATCAATTCATACACATCTAGAAATGGCCGATGAGTCAAGGTCGATATTTTGATTGACTCATTAGAGACATCTCTCAATGGTGGATTTCAGATTCGACGCGAGATTTCTCGGATAGATGTCTGTATAAGTCACGAGATTTTCTTCGAACTAAAATGTTTTTTTTTTGAAAAAGTGAGAAAAAAAAACTAAGTATTACAACAGCAACAACAACAATGATGATGATTTAAAAAGTACTGTCCTATCGACGTTGGATGGTTGGCATATTGTGAAATGTACAAGTTACTTGTGACGGCTGTTTTTTCGTTTCGGATTGATCCGCTGAGAGATAAATCTCGTCCACGTCATTGTCTCGTCGATTAGGATTCTTCAATTGTGCAACATTGTTTGTTAAACATTTCAATTGTTGATAGATAAAACGAAGATCACTTGTCTGTTCGTAATCAAAATTATATCGATAACCGGATCGTTTGGCTGGAATCGGTGGCTGTTTCATTATTGGCCGATCATATAATAAAATCGATGAATGCTGTTCATTGTTCCGTTGTTTTTCGTCTGATGAATTGCCAGTTAGAACAACAGCGGCTGCTGTTGTCGACGATATTAAACCTGCGCCGTTGGTTGCAACTAACAGCGCATGCTTTCGAAGAAATTTCAAATATTCATTACGAACTAGTGTATAACAAAGTTGCCATTTGAACCGAGCGAGATGAACTCGTGTATGTGTGATACTATCATACACTAATTTATTGGTTTTCGACTGTTGATTGATGCGACGTTTTCGTTCGATCTCATGCCAAACAATATCACAAAAAGTTACTGAAAAATTCAAAGCAAAAACGTGAGTACCGAGTTGATTCCAGTTCATGATCAAACCACCTCAACCATCGAGGATGATTTTTAACGATCGTATCATCAAGCTTTTGTCTCTTAAGATAAGTTTCGAACCGAGATCGTGGCTCACGTTCTTCTATACTTCTCATTCTTATCTACCAACTGTCCTTTACAACGGATGGTGAAATATTCAAAGGTAGTATGAGTCACATGTCTTACCCATCAGTGGATGTCCATGAATAACTTCCATATGAATAAAAGTAACATATGTGGCGTAGCCTTGATCTAACCGTTCGAGATTTCTTCCCATAAATGAGTAATCTAATCTTCCCATGAACATAAACGAAGCTAAAACTGCTTTGGATACCCGAATAAAACATGATAAAATGCCAAGAAAGCAATCGAAGAAAAAGTTAAAATAACTAAATATGAAATAGATCCGTCGATTGTTCAACGATGGTGTTCGACCAAAATTTTGCAAGAAAACAAATTCGGATAATATAGATATGAGAATATGTTTCAATAAGTAGACCAATACGATTGGTAAACATATAGCCAACATATTCTGAAACCATCGAGAATCATAACGAATCCATAGACGGAGAAGGAGACAGAAAACAAAGGAAATTTTATAAAATATAATAAAACCCCATGCTGTATAGCCGCACAGATAACCAGAGAAGTGTAAGCACTTCGACATGAGCTCATTATTGGAAAAGTTATGACGAGGAGGAATATCGAGATACTTTCCGGCATAGGCAGCGACGAGATGCTGTTGAATTTTGATTAAGCCATTGAAAATTTGTGAACAATAAATAAGAACCGAGATAATTGAACAGAGAAAAAGATCATTAACAAAAGTTGTACCCCAATCGATATCCCAGTTTAGTTGATGGAGCACTAATAAATGGATACGATCGAGATAACTTTTCACGGTATTAATACCGTAGAAGGTTAATAAACATGTGAGATTATGAATAACAATTAGCACAACTGTGTAAGTCGCAAGAATTTGATTGGAAAATGTGAAATAACGATGCCAACGATAGATTTTGGCAAATGGACGTGTGAGAACATTGTTATAATACATGTCAGAAGGTGTTTTACTGCTCAGTAAACCTAGAATTTCATTCGGATTTTTCATTAGACTCGAATCTATACGGACAATTTACCTTGTGTGTAGAGAAATTCTGGTTTTGTTTGATAATCAGGCACTGATAAATCGACAGAAAGGGTCGATGAAACCAATGAAACTTGATGAACCTTTCCATCGATCATAGTTGCTTGTTGACAACACCGACATTTCAATTGTTGCATTAATAAGAAGGCAAACTTGACGAATACAAATGATATCAATAGAAAATGTGGAAAATTTCGAACAATAATGTAAATTATATCTGCTTGAGTTAATTCGTCAGCCGATTTTTGTAAGAGTAATGTTCGTCCAAAACGGAATAACGAAAAACGCGAACAATAGCTTGTGTAAACTAACGAATAAGCACCATCAAGAAATGTATAGATCAATCCAAGAGCATAGGAGAGTGGATGCGCAATATTTATACTAAAAAAATTATCAGAATTTCGCTTTTCTTCCATTGATAAAAACAACTTACGTCACTAGTACTGGAAAGTATCTCATTCCAATGAGTAATACTACTCCAATTCGTTTTAATAGTTCAACGATGATTCCACCATTACTGACGGTATAATTCGCATTCAGTCGAACTAGAAGTTCTTCTAAGATTTTCAAGACTTCGTTCGCCGATATGCCGAAGATGGCTGCGATGACATGACGTTGTCGTTTATCGAACAGATTAAACGGTATCGGTATCGATGGGCGTCCATTGCAGAATTGCAGACAGAATGTATCGCGTTTTCTCAAACACGAACATATGAATGTCACCAGAACAGCGAATGGTAATGAAACAAAGTTTTGCCAAACATAATTATCAAACTGTTGACATTGATAGAGCCGACGGATAGTTGAATTCAGTTTTTGTGTTAACGTCACATTACTACTGTGATTTGATATGGCTGGGAGAGAAAGACGATATTGAACGAATGGTATAGTTATGAGACAAAATGCTGCGATCAGCAATGTACTGATGATAAGCAGAAAAGTGGATGAATTGCAGAAGTTTGTGTAGGAAAGAGTGGAGATTAATTTGAAAAGGCTGTCGAGGCTTTTGTCTTGTCTTCTTTCATGGCGAAGTTTATGTTTCGGTCGACCAAAAATACTAAAATCAAATGAAGTTCGTTCATTATTTGCATGTGAAATTGTTCTCGAGCGCAAAGAACAATAGAGAATCGATTGCCTGATGACGTAATTTCTCAATCGAGTGACACTATCAATATTGACATGAAATCTGCTCTTACCTGTTATCTAAACAATGAAGTTTACCATAGATGGCTGAAGAACGATCTAATTTCTTTTTCAATATTCTATAGATTGATCGTAGTAGGATCGGAGTTATGCATGCAAGAATAACAAATGTTGCTGCCATGATGACTTGACCACCTTCTTGACTAACTAAACAAAATAGAAAAGTTAAACCCGGCTCCTTTCTTTTCCCCATCTCCTCATACTTGATCGACATCGATTTCCTCCGTAGAGAAAATGACATTCGCAGCGAAATTGACCGTCATCGGTATTCACACATCGACCATGTTTACCACAGATATCATTCAACGAACTGCACCGATCGACCACTGAGAAAAAAATATCATTTCGTATTGAGACTACAAAATGAACAGTGAAGATGAGAAACATACCTTTTTCGCAGATAAAATTCAATTTTCGATCACACACATCAACATTCATACATAATCGTCCTCGACGAGCACGATCAAGAATACCACACGAACGATGACGAGGTTCGCTTGGCAATCGATTCTCACATAGATCATCTTCGGTATAATATGTATAATCTGATAAAGCTCGGCCATTAATCCACGACCATGATTCTAAAAATGCGACGATTTTTATATGAAATGCAAAACTCTTCAGCCTTTACCGTTGAAATAATGAAATCCCACATAGAAATCTTCTCGTAGATCGGTTAGGTTTCTGGCGATATAATCAAATTCATTATCACTATCGATGACAACAAGATCTGCGCGAAATCTTCCACATTCGTGACGTGCTTCACTCCATGAACGTTTAATTGGGAACTTCCAATAGCACGAGGCAGCGAAATATTGCCATGCAATTGGACATTGAGCTACGAAAGGAAAAAAAACGAGTAGATACGATAATTGATACTGTCCATTAAACGGAACAGTTACAATTACTAATTGATTAGTTGACACCCTTCGTGATTCCCTTATAAAATCTTTCATAATTTTCAATGAATCGACTCGAATTTCAAGACATAGCAAAACATGATCGGATTGGTTCTGTCATTGTCGAATTTTTCAATAGCATTGAAAAATGAACAACGCTTTTTCGTTTATCCGGTACATAACAATAATAGTCTCCATTAGAGTTATTTAGTACTCAATCAAGGTACACGCAAGCGTGTCTGATGATCTCTTTCACGTGTATAATTGTTCAGACAAGTGTCTGTATATATGTAATACATTACAGTCGTCCTCTTAATGTATGTATGTGTATATAGTAGACATAAAATATTTTGACCATCATCTTCTCGTCGTATGAACGATAATTGACTTTGAAAATGCATTGTGTCGCGGGTCGGAGGACACACACAGTGTTTGTCGCGTGTATATCTCAAGATCGACTATCTTTGTCTTCTATTCTTTCAATACATGTATATAAACGTTTCTATATAGACGATACTTGGAGATTAATGATTGAGATGAAAGAGAAATCAAAGTGAATACACACAACATGAAACATTATTTATGAGTGATTATTGACTTAAAAGATTTCTTCGATTGACACTTACATTTTTCATGGATTTTCTCCGTGATTTTATCTTTGGCTTTGGTTTTGTATTTTCGAAACTTCGATCTCCAATTGCCAAACAATGTACTCGACGAGATCACGGTTAGAAATACCAAAAGAAGCAAAATTGATCGTATCAACATTTCGAATGAATCGTATATCTAAAAAAGGTCAAAATTGGAAACAACTGTAAAGAAAAGGGCATACATCATGTCTTGATAAGCAAGTGACGACATCACATGACAGCAGAAGAACATACATTGAATCTGAAGATGACTTCGGAGGAAAGAGATGCACCTACCTTTCAACCAAGTGTCTCGTCGAATAATGATGAGCTCATAATCGTAATCGTAATTTATGACGCGCTCGATATGTCCCTTGTCTTTTCCTTCTCTCTTCTCTGTCTGTCTCGCATCTGGTTTCAGTTTTGTGATATCACCTATTTCTTTTTTTCTCCCTCTCTCTCTCTCTTGCGCGCGCATTGTATATTCAACGATCTACACATATACGATTAATTAGAAAAAGTTCACTCTGTATGTATGTGTACGCATCCACTTACATAAATCAATGCGACTACTGCACATGGATATATCCAGGTGAGAAAAAGACCTTTTAGCAAGTAGCAACAGTGAGTAGTTCACTCATCATTTACACACTTAATTCGAGCTATTTTGTCAAGGCAAAAAACTCCAAACGGAAATATGCTACTTACTTGTTTGCGAATGAAGATGTCTAATAAAAGGCTCTATTGAACATGGTTATGATGAGATATCTAACACGTTTTGATGGACAGCACAAACAGTGTCTGGTCTGTAGCGGTATCCTCGAGGCTAAATGCACCTTAATTGGCTGTGCCATCAATCGTACCATCGAGAAAACGAAAGCGAGAGAGAGAGAAAAGGAGAGAAAAAGATATTCAATTGGACAGAAGAAAACGAGAACAAGTGTGTACGTATGTGTGATAATGATAATAGACTTTGACAACAGCATGTTCATTCAAGTAACATAACTGATTGATCAGGAAAAGATGCATGTGATAGATCATTTTTACTTGTCTCCTATGCTTTTAAAAATGAATATGAAATCTTCTTCATAACAGATAAGTCAATCTATGAATGCATTATATGAGCAAAGAGGCCGCTCTCATTAATCTTATTCATCATTTAGTAAGAAAGATTCCAGACTTGGTAATATACATCTAAGCACTTGTTTGGTATTTGCGAGAAGATAAGAGGGAGAGAGGGAGAGAAAGACGCGCTCATATACACAAACTGATTGTGCTCATTGACCATGAATGACGTTCGACACAGGGTCAAATCTTCTATCAAATATCGATCAATCGATCGATCCAATTAAATTCTTGTTCATCTTACTTTATGACGATGATCATCTCTTGAAAAACAAGTGTCTCGACAAGACATGTGGTTATAAACATTTTCGAGATCATATCTTCTTTTTTCCTATCAGATAAAAATCACTGCAAAAGGCACAAATCTGTTTACTCAACATTTCTCCCGTGGTTACTTACTTTTCCCTTTAATATGGAAATCAAAGTTAGCAAGAACAAAAAGGAAAAAGGAAGAAGAAACATAACTTCTTTTCTTTTTAAGGCTATGTAACAGATGCCGAGCCTCTCTCGTCCGATGTCTCAATTATATAAATATTGAACAATAAAAATTGAATAAAGAAAACGAGAGAAAGAGAGAGTAAGGTACTTGAACATGGTTCAATTTTGATTCGATTGTAATGAAGCGCATCGAATGATCAAGCTGGTGCCTTGACTAAGTTGCACAACTGGATACCTTACAAGAAGAACTATACAGACACCTGGTGATTAATGAACTCGACAAGTACTGTGCTTTACTTTTACTATCATGGATCTGATTTTCTTCTTCTGGATATGAGTGAGAAGGTGATGATGAGGTCCCTCGACACAAGCCACTAAGTTAGAGATAGTGTTCCATTGACATTGAGTAAAGTGCCAGCCCTCTTCTCTTCGACAATTGAGCGCTATTAAGATATCAGCAAACTATGCACATGATGAGTGTAAGATAAGACCAATTGGACATTTCGCCTTATTTCACGGTCAGAATAAGTGTGACGAACAAATCGTTTTGTCTCTTGTTCTTCTCTTTTTTCTACTCTATAATCATATATTGATCAGCTCAGTGAATCGTTTCACAACATGTGTGTATGTATGTTATAGGCAATTAACAACAGGCCAAGAAACAATAAAAACAACAACACGGATATTTACATATTCGATTCAAGTGATGATTATCATCAAATATGATTGAACGTTGACAAAGAAAATTGGATATTTCACTTCATTTTCTTCTTAATCAAATAGAAGAGAATGATTTGTTCATTTCATTTCTCGTTGTGAAAGTCTGAGATTGTCAATGGTAAATTACATCATGCAAATACGTTTTTATTCATGCTCGGTTTAGTTCAAATTGGTTCATTTGCTGTCATTGAAAAGAAAGAACATCGGAAATGACTAAACTTCAAAGAAGTCGATATCTACTTTCGAAAAAAAAGACATATCAACTTGATGATACTCAGTCGAATGAAACTCTATTAGACGAGAAGTGTTCTTTTTTGACTGATTTTTATTCTGTATTTGATTACCGTGAACAGGGCGTTCCGTTTGAGAAAAAAAATAAGAACAATAGGTTGTGAAGCAAAAAAAAACAAGAGCACACGCACACGAAAACGTACACAAACATTATATGAACAAAAGAACCAAATGAAGGATGATAACAATCTGCTTTGTCAGTCTCTCGATAACGGATGATGTATGGCTAATTTTTTTTTTGGTTGCAAACTATGCAATTATTGAGCGAGTTAAATAAGAAAAAACAAAACAAAAACAAAGAATGAGAAATGAATCAAAGAAGACTAGATGATAAATATTTTGTTCGAATCGTACGCGTGTGTATGTTTTGATGTCAGAGAGAAATCCTACAAATAGAAATGTCGACTTTCATTATTGAGAGGCCGTTGCTGTTTCTCTCGGACGATCGTGATAGACGTTTAAATTCGTAGACGAAGATAAACTGAAATGGAAATGGAAATGTTCAGTAAATGTTGCTCTGCTCTCGATGAAGCACGTACTGTAGATCACCATGACCATTGGTGTTCGTGTTAATTCGAGAATTTTCAAGATGATCATCATTGGAAAGATTGGTTAGCGTAGTCGATTTTCCCAGTGGTACGGATTCTTCGATCAAACTTTCGGTCATGATCTGTGATGCTGTCATACTGGTTTGCACGAGATTATCTGTTGATCGAGTATTGCGGGCTTTATTGAGAAGACTTTGTATCAACGGCGATTTGAATCTAGAAGGAGTTAGCGATGATATGAAAGGTTTCTTCGCGAATAGGAAATTACTTGGGTGTATCAGTGATACTGGTGGTGAAACTTGGAGACACTACTGAGTCATGGGTGAGTATGAAACTGTCGGTGGATGTGGACATATGAAAATGAGTATCTGATATCGAATGTGGCAATGAAGATTTGATTATGTTGGTTGGAGATGAAGTATGATTCGTTTGATCGTGTCCATTGAGTTGTTCAACGGCTGGTTTGTTCGTGTCGTTTTCCTGCTAAATGAGGAGACAAAAGGATGAATTTTAAATGAAGAAGATTTCCTTGGCAGAATTCAGCTAATTATGAGTTAGATTTATTATTAAACAAGGTTACATTTTTGAATCTCGTTCAAGGATGAGAAAAGCAAATCTGTCTATTCATTTTTGTCTAAATTTCTGATCCTTTGATAAAAACTCAATATAAGCCTAGTTCATCCTATTTTTAATCTAGAAGAATTACTTTAGAATTCGGTGAAATCTGTCTTGTGCGTCTCATAATTAAATCGAGACGTTTTTTTCGTTCGTTTCTTTCTTCTTCTTCTTTCTTGGCTCGTTCTTGTCGTTCGCGAGTGAGACGTTCGGTTTCTTCGGCTTGTTTCCTTTCTAATTCTTCGCGTTGCTGCTGTAGACGTTGTTCTTCTTGTCGTTTCAATTCGTTTTCACGTTCTCGTTCTTCAATAGCACGCTGTAAACGTTCTTGTTCAGCACGACGTTGTTCTTCAACTAATCGTATTTGTTCTTGTTCACGTTCAAACTCTTCTAATTCCAGCTGACGTTTTTGTTCTTCTTCACGTTGACGTTCTAATTCTAAACGTTGTTGAGCTTCACGAATCTTTTGATTCAATTTACGTTGATATTCCTGTTCATCCACAGTTGGCTGTTCTCGTTTGACAGAATTTATTGGTTCGGAAGTTACGTCAGGTTCGACGGATTCAGATGGAGTTTCTTCATTCACCGGTTGCGCGTTTTCGTCGGGATTAGTTGCAGCGACTGGACTTTCAGATGTTGATTTTGATTTCGACGATGAAGCTGCTTGTGTGGCACTAGTAGTAACAGCAGTAGTCGCTGCTAGTCGACGTTTATTTATTGTTGCTGTTGAAGATGACAACGAAGACGATGAATGTGATGTAGTCATAAGAGATCTTTGAGTGGGAGCATGAGATTGAGATGCAGAATTAGGAAGAGTTTTGGTTGACGAAGGTGGCAGTTTGGCTTGAGCTGCAGAGCGATTTGAAACTGACTTGTGTGTTAATGTTTGATCAGATCGAGGAACATCATCTATCGTCGGAGAAGTTCGGGATTCATTGGTGGAAGCTGGTACAGTTGCTGGACGAGAAGGTTGTCGCTACAAACGAGCAGAAAGAATGCGTTTTTTTTCATCAGTTTCGGCATTGGGCATAGAAACATACCTTTCGAATAGTTGTGGCTGTCGTTGACGTAGTTAAACGTAATTGATGGCTAGATCTTGACAATGGTATTCCATTAGACGATCCTGGTCCTGTTGTGGCGCCAATATGAATGGATTGTGTCATAGGATTACTTTTGGGTTTGGCTAGACGACGTATAGTTTCATTTAGATGTTGACGAGTTGTATTCATCGGCCGACGTTGAGATTCACCATTGGTTGCTGTGCTGGGATGAAGTACTTCTTCTCGAGCTAAATGAGAATGAAATAAATTTAGAAAATAATGCAAGAGAACATTGCGAAGCGTTGTCATCTATGAAATATTGAAAGCCAAGCAGATAGAAACAAATGAGAGAAACATTGATT